GACCAGCCTATCTGGCACCATGTTCAGAGACACTTGAGTCATCAGCCTTCCCCATTCAGATGTTTACTTTGACCTCTGGGACGTTATTTTGACGATGTTAACATGACTACATGCAGTGAGTTGTTAGTTGTTAGTGTCAAATATTTGTTTTAATGACTTTTGTAACTAAAAGAGTGGCAAGTGAGTGTTTAATAACTATAATAATTGAAGAATGTTGATGATTTGTGATACTCATCTTGGGCTCTAGCATTTACCATGAATGGAATTCCAACCCAAGATTTAGTTTCTATTCCAAAGTACAATTTTCTTTACCAGCACTGCCTTTGACAGCACTGTAGAGCTTTGTCTAAGCTATACTGCCAGTAGTAATATGACCCTCCGCAGACACAGGAGTTGTGAATCTAATTTGATGGCTCACTCTCAGTGACGCTCAGGGATCCATTAACAGTCAACTCTTTGCCATTTATTTCCCTGTCTGTCTGCCTTACATAACTAAAACCATCGAACTACATTCAAAGTTGTTTCTGGCATGCTCTAAAAAACATATGTGTGTGCTCTGGTTCATTATGTTTAAAAGGTTGCTACAGAAGATCAGCAAATCTGCTTTATGGAGCAGCCTCTCTTTAGCGGAAGAAAACCCGTAAAGTGCAAACTACACAGAGTAGCGGCTTCAAAAGTCACAAAGTCTTCACAGTAAATATGGAGGAAGATAATATTTGTCTCCACAAGGTGCTATACTGCTCTAGAGCTGAGATACTGAGACATTAAAACTTTCTCACCTTAGAAACTGAAGCTGAAATAGGTGTTGATGAGGGTCAGTGTCACATCAGTGTCTTCCAGTAAATAATCAGGGACGTGCTTAAATATCTTGCTTAAGACCACTTTACAGTTTCATCTTGTTTGTCAGTGATTGTGCAGATTAAGTACCTTTACTGGTGCAGCTCAGAGATCAGGTTTATTTTTATGTGTGTAGACTGAGTAAGAAACTGTGTACAAAAGGTGAAACACATTTAAAAAAAGCCTAGTGTGAAGTAAATGGACTGGTTCATATATAGTGCTTTCCGACGTTATCTGAGCACTCAAAGCACTTTACACAACTTGCCTCATTCACCCAGAGCCTGTACTTCTTTACTTAAGTAAAACTGAAAACATTTTAACACTAATA